TATATTTTGTGCCCTGTATAACACAGAAGTCATTAGTATTAATGAAATGCCCCTATTATACAAGCTAGGTATTTCAAAAGATATAACTAATTTGTAAGGTCTCGTCTAAGTGTTTTTTTTTTTCCAATTCAAAATAAAATCGTTTTTCCGAACTGCTAAGATTTCAGTAAATGTCTAAAATAAATTAATTGACGTTGTGATGTAGGATTTTCCACTGAGATTGGTATTAATCTAAAGAATACAGATTTTCTACATTTGGTATTCCTTTCTAAAAATTAAAAAAAAATATGAATAGAATTATTTATCTGGTTTCGTTTTTCAACTGTTTAACCATTGTGTTCCTTGACGAGATAATTGTTGCAATTTACGATGGAAACCCCATGGGCATGTAAGTGAATGACAGTTTTGTAATGGATCCGTAACGGTAAAGTCGATATTGCAATTCAAGTTATGAAAAGATCCATTTTGTGGTTTTTAAAAGGTCGTTTTTTGTAAACATTTCAAATATCAGCGACGTTTAACTTAACTTGAAAAATTTGTGTCACACATTGTTAAAAATCTATCACCATTTTGAAAGTGTGTGTCTATGTGTGTAATATTTTTCAAAATGTTGTAGTGTTCAATTACCAGATTACCACTTTTATGAAAATATTAAATGCTAACTATTTCACGGTTGCCAAGTGGATGGAATCTAGTGAAATCATAAAATAAAAGTGCTATTATATACCCCTATACATTGCTATGGAAGACAATTTTGAGAGAATGTTGCAAATATTTTTTGAGAGAATGTTGCAAATATTTTTGCATGATTCTGTAAAAGATTGCATTGGAGAGTATTAGGAAAAAAACTTATTAATTAACAATACAAGGACAATACATAAATACTCGTTTTTTATAGTATTTTTAGATGAAAAAAGTAAAATAACAAAAATACCGAACTCAAAGGAAAATTTAAACGGAAAGTCCCTTATCAAATGGTAAAATCAAAAGTTCAAACACATCAAATGAATGGAAAACAACTGTCATATTCCTGACTTGGTACAGGCATTTCCTCATGTATGTAGAAAATGGTGAATTAAACCTGGTTTTATAGCTATGATTTTCTAATTTATTTTTTTAAAAAAATATAATCATAACTTTTCCAAATATATAAAAAGTGCAATTATGGGTCACCTTTGGACGTCCTCTGTGAAACAGATATTCTATAACGGTTAACCAACTCGTGGTGGTGTCCGTAACATTTTCGAATGGATGTATTTCAGAAGTATACCACTTGGAACCCTTGGTGTAATACCTCAATTATAGCAGTAATCCCATTAAAGACGTTATAATAGGAATCCAGATTCTTGAATATCGTACCAACTGGGCGATAAATACTCCATATGCAGGCGCTTCTGCTCGAATGTTTCTTCATAGAAATAGAAAGTTCACAGTTGGGAAGCTGAAATCATCTCTTTTGTCGTAAAGTTTTGTTCTTAACCGACCCTCGTTGTTAATCGTCAATTTTTTAGATGTAATTCAAGCAAATCTTATGGTCATCATGTACTCAAATGAACATGCAACTGAAGATTCATAGTAAATAAATTTGTAGCTTGAATTATATATTGAGAATATTGTATGTGACCTGTTAAGATTTTAATTTAAGATATTGCTTAAATATTCCAGTCTTACAATTATATTTTATAATTGGTTCTAAAATACCATATTTTTTTCAGCCCATTCACAGTGTAAATATAACAAGTAATCTTCTTCATTATGGTAGTATTTCGTAGATGTTCATGAGCGATTATACAGACTTTAAGAACATGCAACTGAAGATTCATAATGAATAAATTTGTAGCTTGAATTATATAATATTGTATGAAATGCCTCCTTACAGATATTGTATGAAACGCCTCGTTACAGATATTGAAGTATTTGAGGCAATCCCATAATACAATTAATGAAACATATTTCTTGTTAATTGCAGAAAGAACGTTCTCAAATTTACTATCATGCTTCATAAAAAAATCCTCATTAAAACGCAACCAAATTTTTCTTTTACACAGGCAAACAATTAAATCAATCCCCTCGGCTGGGTGTTACTACAACATCTCTAACTTCGGAGAGACTTCTAGATTGATAGGTGCATATCTGTATTATCATAAAGCCAATGCATAACATCAGCATTGAGATAACAACAACATCGTAGACATGACAGTAAATGAATTTACATTAAATAAGTGATTTTGAATTTGAAATGTTTTTTCAAATAATTTTCTTAAAGCCCATAATTATGTGGAGTAACGTGCACTTCAAATCTACGCTTAACCTGAATTAAGTGATTGAGATCCACATGAAAAAAATTCCTTCAAAGCTGGAAAGTACAATTGGATTTTAAAGTTCTTATTTGTGCTAAATACTTTGTGTAAATTATTACAATGCATCATCTATTTAGTAAGCAATTGCGCGATTCATGCAAATCTATATTATACTTTTTAATGAGAAATATTCATTGTAGCGCGATCATGTTAAACCGTTTCATTTACATTTTGACTATCAGACCCTTTTGTAGACTAAATATTCAACATTTCTTATTTCCTTTTGTGTACTGCTGATATTAAACAAGTTCCGGGTGTTATCGGGTGCGGTTGTAATTTATGTGATTTTTTTTTAATGCAATCATGTGATGGCTTTGTCGTTTTACTTAAAATGAATAACAGGACATGTGAGTGATACATGTAAGTCAATGAGTCAGAAACGCAACAGCAAAAAAAACAAAAAAAACTAGAGGCTCTCAAGAGCCTGTGTCGCTCACCTGTATTTACTGATGCTTTGGAAATCATGTAAATAAGGTTAAAATCATAATTAATAGTATTAGATATTAGATATTATAATGATATCTAAGATAATAACAAAAAACTGCAAAATTTCTGTAAAATTACTAACTTAGGGGCAGCAACCCAATAACGGGTTGCTGGATTCGTCCGAAAATTTCAGGGCAGATAAATCTAAATCTGATGAACAATTTTGCCACCTATCAGATTTGCTCTAAATGCTTTAGTTTCAGAGATATAAACAAAAAACTGCATTTTACCCCCATGTTCTATTTTTAACCAAGTCGGCCATGATGGTTGGAAGGCGGGGTCATCGGACATATTTTTTAAACTAAATACCCTAATGATGATTTTGGCCAAGTATGGTTAAATGTGTCTCAGTAGTTTCAGAGAAGAAGATTTTTGTAGAAGATTACAAAAATTTACGAAAAATTGTTAAAAATTGACTATAAAGGGCAATAACTCCTAAAGAGGTCGACTGACAATTTTGGCCATGACGACTTATTTGTAGATCTTACTTTGCTGAACATTATTGCTGTTTATAGTTTATCTCTATCTATAATAATATTCAAGATAATAACCAAAAACTGCAAAATTTCCTTAAAATTTCCAATTCAGGGGCAGCAACTCAACAACAGGTTGTCAGTTTGTCTGAAAATTTCAGGGCAGATAGATCTTGACCTGATAATCAGTTTTACCCTGTCAGATTTACTCTAAATGCTTTGGTTTCAGAGATATAAGCGAAAATCTACATTTTACCCCTATGTTCTAATTTTAGCCATGGCGGCCATCTTGGTTGGTTGGCGGGGTCATCGGACTCATTTTTTTAACTAAATACCCTAATGATGATTGTGGCCAAGTTTGGTTAAATTTGGCCCAGTGGTTTCAGAGGAGAAGATTTTTGTAAAAAGCTAACGACGACGACGACGACGGACGACGGACGCCAAGTGATGAGAAAAGCTCACTTGGCCCTTTGGGCCAGGTGAGCTAAAAAAAAAACTCACGAAACAGTCCTATTTCAGAAATACAACAAAATTTGGGAATTCCAGTTGTCCGTGTCTATTTTTTTTTAAATATTGGATCAGCCACCAAGAAATTTTGCATATATTCGAACAAAAAATAATTGAAAATAATGAAATAAATAATTGCTCCTCCTTAAACATTTGTACACCTACCAGGGTCAACTTCTTATCAGTGACGTTGGAAATACGAAACTTCCGTTATTTATTTATGTGTTTTTTAATTCAACGTTGCATCATTGTAAATATTAAAACATCGTTCGACCTTTAACCAACCAATTTCATTAAACCCAGGCAATTTTAATAGGTGACAAAGCAGTTCTTTTTGATCTCAAATATATATTCATTTGTTATATTTACCTGTGTTTGAGGGTTACTAATTAATTTCTTAAAACATATTATTATGCTGCATATCAAAATGCCAGATTTTGATTGGTTAATACGAAGTAGATGATTTACTCTGTCCCATGGTAAATTCTCTATTACCCTTCACGGAGACGCTTGATCAGGTGTGCGCTTTATTAAATACGAATGGTTTTTATGTACAAGACGTCATAGTTTATTACTTTGAATTTGAAAATTTAATAGACAGTAAAAACAGAACATTCAGTATAACAAATTGAATAACACATACCTGAGAGGGTGATAGAGCAGATTGTTACCCCTCGAAAAGACATTGTCAACCTTGGCTTCGCCGCGGTTGAAAATGTTTTTTCGGGGCATCAATCTGCTCTATCACCCTCTCAGCTATGTTTTATTTATATATTATAACCCAAAGAACAAGTCTACAAGATATTGTTATTGTATCATTATATAAGAGAACAACTGCATGTATTTACATGGATAAAGACTCTGTCGTCTTATTTTAACCATGCATGGAAGTATTATAGTCAATATAATACTTCCATGTTTCATCGGATTTGCAAGATTAATTAAAAAAAATCTGTCAAATTTTTCCGATCACTGTAGTTCAAAATTCATGAAAAATTTCTGAATTTTTTTGGTTTAGATGAAATACTCCTCTTACCTACAGGAAAAGTGATTTTTTTTATCAAAATTAATATTCTGTCATTATGCAAAATCACCCGCAAAGCTAACGTTTGATTTTTTTTTACCTCAAGTTTTTGTAATTGTCTGCTGATATTGTCTTTTGTTTTTTTTGTAGATTTTTCGAAACTGAACCTGATGTTAAATCCTTATTTCCTAAAATTGTGCGCATGAACAACGAAAATCAGTTGGAATGGGAAATAGACAAGGATATGTTACAAAAACACGCTATATCTGTGATGGAAGGACTAGGGGCAGCAGTAGAGAGTTTAGATGAATCAGATTTTTTAAATAATGTTATGGTGTCAATAGGACAAACACATGTGAAAAGGCACATCAAACCACAAATGTTGAAGGTGAGTCTACAGTTATACATATTGAGTTAAGTATAGAAACATTCTTCACGTATTTAGGTTCTTTATATACATCCCTGGATTTCAAATTTGTACGTAAATCCCGAAGAGCGCTTCGGACGCACGAAATTATTCAAAAGTACAAAAACAAAAATTCCGAACTTCAAGTAAAAATTCAAAACGGAAAGTCCTTTAACAAATTGCCAAATCAAAAGCTCAAAATACATCAAACGAATGGAAAATAACTGTCATATTCCCGACTTGGTACAGACATTCCTTATGCAGAAAATGATGGATTAAACCTGGTTTTATAGCTAGCTAGCAATTATGTATGACAGCCGCATAGAATTCCATTATATTGACAACAATTTATGAGCAAAACAAACAGACGTAATAGGTAAAAATGTCAAAAATTGGGGTACAGCAGTCAACATTGTGTTATAATCTTAATCACTATAAAAACAAACAACTATGTCAACCAAGAAAAACAAAATGGCATATAGACACTCTATAGACAAAGCACATAAGCTAAAATGAAAGACAAGAATACAAAAAATGACCATAGCACAATAACACAATGGCGGGATGTATAAATACCGAGCCACGCCAAAAGGATATTACCAAAAATGGACTAAACAGTAAGATTAAAAATGTACAAAGACAAATAAAAAGAACACTATAACATGTAATTAGGATGATAAACAACGTCAGTACCTATAATCTAATAATAGACCATCATGTATTATTTGTGATACGGAATATTTATCAACAAGGTCTTGGTATCTTCCGATGAACTTAGAAAAAGGACGAGACGTTCTTTGAAATAACCCTGGTTCATCAACTTTCTGCTCAGACACTTGTGACGTTTTAAAAAGTGTGAGAGGCAGCTGCAATCTCTTGAAAACCGAATGAGTTGGGAAATGTATATCCCATATGCAGGTGAAGTTGGTATATTGCTGCTAAGGTGGAGGGAGGAAATTTAAATCGTCTCGTTTGTCAAAAATTCTGGCACTGAGATGACCACTTATGTCGTTAAATAAAGCATTATTATCAAACAAAGTATAAACAAATTATGGTGTTAGCCCTATATAACCATGGGATATTCGACGGAGATCAGAACGTCTGGCATAAAGTTGTCACATGTTTAGACGTATATAATAAAATTTGATGTGACGGTGTCCTATAGCCATGTCCCCCATGCCAATCTTTCCGGGGGGGAAACTGAATCGATCCAGTTTTTCCCCAGGACAAATTGGCATTATTCCAGTTTTCCCCCTCAGCGTGATTTGGGGGGGGGGGGGGGGGGGGGGGCAAAATCAGGCCTATTTTTCAATTTTAGTTGCACGAGGAGAAGGTCATTTTCTCCCTCTTGTAGTAACATCGGCGACGTCAGTTTGAAATCAATTATCATTAAAGGATGGAACTATTCTTTTCATTCACACCATTATCGTATCATTATACATTCAATATGAGATGATTGACTTATACTGTATATATATTAAGCATAGTCTGATGTGGTGATCACATCACTTCTCCTCCGTTGGTATGTGTTACGTGACTTTCTGTAGTAGGTCGTACGGTCCAATGGTCAACCCATGTTCTAGTTCATTGAACATGACGAAGCCAACATTTAGAAGGAATTTTGTCGGATTGTAACAGTTGTTGTAGGAATGTTTGAAACATATGATATGCCCTTGGATATTATTCTTTAAATATTTTTCAAGATCGCCCAGATATGACTGCTTATTATAGGAAGGGTCTTATCTCATTAGATGTACTGAAATCAATTGATGTCTTGTTTGCTTGTTGCATTAGGTAATATTGTGCGGTCTTCGTACCATGGCCCCATATCCATTCCATTTCACCCGCAAGAGAACGGAATTGCACATCAGCGTAACATGACTGAATAAAACCATGAAATATAAGTGTGATTTTCATGTCAGCCATCCCCCAAGGGTGACCTGGAAATAGAAATATGGCTACTACAGGTCTTCCTCCGACCGGCAGTAAAACCCTTGCCAAAGAGGGGCGTCCGTTTGGTTGTGCAGGATGTACAAGTACGCAGCTACGTCTGGTCAGATTAGGGACGTTAAGTCCGATACCTCGTGTAGAGAGAGTGCCACGCTCTCTGCACGTTAAGAACCCTTGCAACAGCTCTTTTAGGGGTCCTGTTACAAGGCAAAAGTTCTGTCCTAATCCAATTTACCCTCATTTTTCAGTGGCAATCTAAATTTTCCCGACATTCATCCCGGACGGCCTGTATTACAGGACCTACCTATTGTATGTATTGTTGATTTGTTCTGGTCCTTAACATGCTAAAAATATTAGCCACTGGGCGTTATTAAGCAACCAACAATCATTAAATCATTCATGTCAGTCATACGATATGTTCGGATTTGTAGACAGAGTCAATGTATGAATGCAAACGGTACCCCTGTAACAAAATATAGGTGCCTCACATCCATTCCTTGACCCTAGACCTTTAAAGTGAGACGCGTGTCGACTAAAAACACAGTTTGTACCAAACATTTTATCTATGCAACTCAAGCCGGAAAACAGATTATTTCATCATTCCAGAGATCAATCATTTCTAAAGAAAATACGGAAATTATATGCAATAAATGGCAGTGCAATTTTGATGGTCATACATTGTAGGGGAAAAGTGGCTATTTGTATACGTATTGCTAATTTTTCGCGCGGGAAGAATGGCAAAGATCCAAAATTTCCCCGGTGAAAAAATGACATCATGCCAGTTCTTCCCCCGGGAGAAAACTGTCATGGGAGGAAAATGGCTATATAACAATGGCATGGTAATTATATTATCATCCTTTACGATAGACAAAACATAGCTGATCTGGTACACCATCTACTACTTGCCGCTATACAACATGTAATGTGTTACAACACGAGATAAAGCCAACGAGGAAAGACATTACTCGACTAGCTAATGAAAGCAATATTTGATATAGCCTACTTTGTCATGTAGTCTAGGGCGCTGGACAAAGTGCAGGAGGTGTTGTCATGTCACAGAAGCAGGGGTTCGAATCCCGCTTAGGAAAGAACAAAAATTAGCTATCGCAAATTTGTAGATCTAGCATTGTTGGACTAAATTTTTAGACGAAGTATATATAAATTATGCTGTTAGACCTGTATAACCATGGGTTATCCGATGGAAAAAGTCTGTCACATAATTAGACGTGTATATATTGGAGTAACATATGCGCAAACATTGGTAAAGTAAAATTTGCTACATATTGGTTATTTAGTTGTGTGTTGCTGAAGTTAAAAAAAAAACATTTAATAGAATTGTATTTAAAGACTATCAAGTTTAATTATACCAACTTTTTATTATTATTGTACAAATAAAATGTCTGATCTGGAGAATTTATATCAATTGGCTTAAAGAACGAATCATTCGTTATGTTTGTTGTAACTTATCTAGAAGAATAACAATATAACTACGATGTATAACATCGCTGTATAACAGTGGAATACATTTGTCAGAAGAATAGAACTCCTGAAAGAATTATTAAATCGAGCTGATAGTATAGTTTTTTCAACTAGACATGATGACACAAAAACCGTACCTAGTACGAAAAGCTTTTGTCATACGGTCTCAGGTCAGTTGCGTGTACAATGTGTTCGAGTCAAAAATGGTTTAAGATCCACAACTACCTCGTTCATAAGATGCCATTGTGTTTAAATAGTAAAAAATTGTCACAGTCCTACCAGTCTTACACGACTTGATTGATTGATTGTTGCTTACTTAACGTCTCGAAGTACAGGAATTGACATATAAAAATGTCAGCATAGTATGTCATTTACTCACAAACATTCCTACCGAGGACAAAACGATTTCAGGTTAATTCTAAAGAAAATACGGAAATAATATGCAATATATAAATTAGAAAAATTGGCAATACGTATACATATAACCACTTTTCCCCTACACTATATAACCATCAAAATTGCACTGCCATTTACTACATATCACTATGTTACAATTGTGAAACAATCAGCTACTACTTCAAGCATTGTAAAATCAAAATACCTACAATATTATCAACATAAATCGACAGATAATCTTATCAAGCATGAATTATTTCATGCAAACTGTCTCTGAGCATTAGTGTCTAAAATGATGGACGGACCGATGACGACCATTACTACGTCCCCGCGGCGCGCGTCGGGGGACAATTGTCAGTTATAAACATGAATAAAAATAACATCATATGAAACACAGACTAAATGTACTACTATAAATCTAACATTATATCGTAATATTTTCTAAGGTTTCATGAAACTAACAACTGTTTGAAAAAACAAAAGGAGTTGGTGTATTCTTGGTTATGTTTCTTTAAGAATAAACATAAAAATACTCTAGAATATCACGAATAGATTCTTCTTCTTCTTTTTCATTGTTAAAAAAATATGTGTATTTTATTTTCCTTTGAGAAATATTTCAGAATGACCAAATATCATGCAAGATACTGGAAATCACTTCATCGGTTTTTTTCTTCCGTCTTTCTTTTCATATAAATAGCTAATCAAGAAAGTTATGCAATATTTCAATGAAAAAAATGTTGAATCATTACGAAAATCAAAAGTACAAAAATGCAGCTTAAATCCATGTGATCTTGTTTGGTTTAAGTGAGGGAAGACATTGATTTCTAAAGTCAAAGATAAAGTTTTTATAGTATACTTTCCTGTAAAGTATGAAAACAGAGGCAATGCGATTACCACCTTCGTAAAAAAAGATCAATACTGTGTCTGGAATTGCGTCGTATTTATGAATCAAATTTATACATGCATTGCATAAGGAGATAGATAAAAAAAAATATGGTAAAAATAAGTAATATGGGGCACAATATGTATAATGTTGAAAAGTGCAGCATTTTATATATATTTCAAAAGTAACAAAAAACTATATTTACAAAGTCACAAAACATTTTGTTTACAAAATCGCAAAACATTATATTCACAAAGTTACAAATCACAATATT